GGGGGGGGGGGGGGAGAGAAGGTGGTAAGGGGCATGAGGGGGGCAGATCTGGCCCACAGAGCTGCTATACCTGGCTTGCCAGGCTACCAGAAGCTGGGACCATGGCTGCGGGATTGGATTGCTGCAGAATCCCAGGACTTTGGGGCCCAGTGAACATGGCCATCAGCATCAGGAGGGACAATGAAGGCTGATCGTTCCAGTCACTCCGTAGCTGTTGTTTCACTTGTCATCAAAACAATCCTACCTCCTTGGCTGCAGCCCTGCTGCTGCTGCATACTGCATGCCCCATGCTGGAGCCGTCATCACCTTGTGCCCCATGTACCGCTAACATGGCATGAGGCATGTAGCAGGTAGCAGTGGCAGTAGCTCTGCTTCTGGCACAGAGTATGCAACAGAAGCTGGAGTTGCCATGAAGTTTTATATGGAGAAGGACAAATCCAAAAGTAATTAGTCTGATTCTTCAATGCTTATATGGCTTTTGAAGTCTTAAATACAATTGATAGAACAAGAGAGCTACGGCTTCAGATGCCACTCATTAAAAGACTTAATTGAATTTCCAACTCCTCCACCAGAGTCTGTGAACAATAGTATAGAAATTTACCATAGAACTTGGATTTGGCCAGAATGCTACCACTGAGACAAAACCCATCCTTCCGGTTGCTAACATAGAAAGCAGATATTGGGGGGTGATGAGACACCTGTTGAAAGACATATTTGAACATAAGCAGATAACACTTTGTAATAAGTCTTGTGCTAGAGTTAATGAACTGCCAAAAAATAAAAAAGGAAGAAAGTGAAGATGCATACACTATATTTACTTGCATACCACATAGGCTTTGTGCCTCTTTGTGGGCAGGCAGAACTTATTTTAATAATTTTTTTCCAGAATCAGGGCTGACAGCTGACTGCATGGAGTAGGTCACTGGCCCTCAGTCAGCTGAGTGATTCAGGCAAAAATTAGTTTTAGTCTTGATAGCTGCTGCCGATCTGGCTGCTCAGTCAACTTTTTCCTGAAGTAGCCAGTGAGCTTCTCCCCAAAATCAGCTTTCAGCCACAATTCTGGAAAAAATCTTTTCATTCTGCCTACCCTAAGGTGCATGTCTTATTTGGGGCATATGGTACGCAAGAAAATATGCCAACTGGAAATCCAAGAGGTAAAATTGTTACAGCTAAGAGGCTGGAAGATATTTAAAGTAGTACCTGCCCTTGCATTCAATAAGGGTGTTGAGGAAATGAGAAGGAGGAAACTTTAAATGCTATGTGAACATGCTATTCAACGCATCATATTTACTCACAAAATAGGTGTAGTCATGTAAGGGCTGCTCAATTAAAAAAAAAAATTTAAGTTAAAAAACTGTCTCCAGTGGCCACACCCAACTTTCTGAAGAAAGACTCAAATGTTTCTGTTAAATCTATCTGGGTGCTGAAGAACAGAATATACTGATATGGAAAATCCATGCAACATGGGTTCATTAGTTCTGCTCCACTTTCATTCAGACTAATCTATAATACTGTGCAAGATGGATGTTCAAACAGAACTAGTTTTCCTTTGATGCAGCAACTAGCTCAGCCTTGCTCTCAGATGGGCATAGCATGGTTAATTTGATCAACAGCAACTCAGTTTTTGAATTTACACCCTCACTAGAAAGCTACTACAGGACCTGGATACCTAGCTGCATGGCCAAAGAACTACCTCTGAGGAATATGTGGAAAAGTGAACATGCAACTCCCTCTCATGGGTAGAAATATCACCTCTATCCTGCACTAAAGGATACATTAGATACATTATTCTGAAGCAGAGGTTTAACACAGAGGAGATGCATTCAGACACAGAAACTCCTTCCTTCTTACAAGTTATCCCCTTTGTCTGCTTCTTGACCTTGTCCTGGAATTAAGAGGAACATCTGAGACAGTGAGCTGAGGAACTCCATTACTTGAACAGCAAGTCAAACTCAGCTCTGCCAGCACCCTGTTTCCTCACCAAAAGAAACCCAACACCTGCTCTTGATGCAGTAGACAGATAGTAGCAACTCTCCAAGGCAGCTTTATGAAGTGATCTTACTAGATTTCTCCAAAACAACTGCATGCTATCCTCCCGAGTAAGCAAACCCAAAGACAATGTCATGCAACAACTTTGGCTCTCTCAATACTCATCAAGGCAGTGAGAATCAGTGTAAAAGGAGCCAGGGGACTGCTTTCACATTTTAGTTTATGCATGTGCATAAAAAGTTTACCTAATGGGGACCAACAGAAGTCTTCAGAAGATCTTTATTGAATGTTTCTTTATCAAATCAAAGCCACAAATGAATCAACTGCTGCCAAATTCTTGAAGCATCTATTACAATTCTAAAACATTTTGGCTAATACCTGTTCAGCAATGTAAAAAGTCTTGCTGTTTGTCCTTGGGTGAATCCACATGCAGCGGAAAGTCTCGCCAAGTATAGGATTATATGGTTTTTTTAGCCCCTGTACGGAAACACCACAGACAAATTGATAATACAAGACAAGCATACACCTTAAAGATACTGTGCAACAAAACTCGCATCAGCATTATCAAATATAAAATGAAAAAAACCACTTTTGTTAGTATGCACAGTAAAAGAGTTAGTCTTTGGGGACTACACCCACAAATTCTGAGGGAAAATGGAAGATCCAGAAGGTATTTGGTAGAGCACTTTGCTCCCTTTGTGTATACTGGGAGACACCGGGTCCTTACAGGAGCAAAGTTTGATCATTTGTTTGCTTGAGATTAAGCAGACTAAGCTAAGTGCCACATAAATACCCTACCTCATTTGGATGACTAGAAAGAAAAAAAAGCTTTAGGAAAGTAAAGTAGAGGGGTTAGGCTAAAGAGTAAAAAAAAGTGCTGCTATGAAGTGCAGGCAGCATCTCTCCACACAGAATGATATTATCAGTGAGGAACAAAGCAAATAAGCATTTTTAAACAAGTTGGGTATTTCAACATTTACTTAAAAAACAAACATCAGGTACTGAGTATTTTAAATGCTGCTTGCATTCAAAAACAGAAGAGTTTCTTATTTATTTGTACATGTTATACTTGAAAAGTAAATTAACATAATTACTGTTACTATTACCATTCTTTCTTAATCAATGGCAGGAATAAAATGAAAAAGTTACCTGTGGTTTTTTGTAGAATCCCGACAAATACCATTTTACTACTTTCTTCAAACGATTGTAAGCATTCTCTTCAAGAGCTGCCCTATGAAACATTACATAAAATTATCAGATTAAAGATCAAATTGAAACTTTACAATAGATATCCAATCATTTGTAATCTACCATCATCATTCAATTACATGGCTATGTACTGCAATACAGCTGGGCAAAACACATGTTCAGGTTGCAAAAAGAATATTTTAGTTCAGTCCAAATCAGAATGAAACGACTATTTTCTAACTCTTTCAGAGAAAGGAAATTTTGTAGCAGAAACACCTTCCAATATAAAAATAGAGCACTAAATTACCTACAAGCCACCAAAACTTCAGCCAGGTTTCTCATGGACTCAGGTCCTGGGTTTGATAAAACTAAAATATTTCAGGTGGCACATCTTCTGGCATTTCCAAGTAGCTCTACTTATACCATATCCTCACTGAACTGGAGATAAACCTTGTCATTAGTTTCTGAACTGATGTAAATAGAATATGTAAGAGCATGCATTTTTTTTTTTTTTTTTTAAGGTATACAGGTTACTTAATGGACATAGGCTAGCAACAAGTCTGCAGATGAGGATTATGAATATTCCAAGATTTCTTTTTCCAACAGCCAAACTGTTTGAATGTACTATAATGGAATGCTGCCAAATAAAAGAAATTATCATATACAACCTTTTACAGAATTCAAGAGGCTACCTCCTAAAACTTTATTTTATTTTTTTTTTTTTTGCAAGTTCTTCCTAATGTAAAGTGGGGAGAAAAATTCTGCTACTAGTTAGAATGGATAGGTACAATGAACAAGTTGGTAATGCAGAGTTAAGATAAGCATCCTAAATAGAGACAATTTTCATTTTGAGACACTTCAGCATTCTTGAAATTTAACTATTTTGTTTTAGTTTCTCATCTTTTGTTCTTTTCCACTGTAGTTTAAATAATGTAGATCAAAACAAATATACTTCACTTCAGAAGTTTACAGTTTGAAGTAGAATCCTTTTTGTATTTATTTTATACGGATAATTTAAAACTTTAAGATCTATGCCTCTTCCCCATACTACACGTAAAGGCTGTAGAGAAAGCATTTCTTCTGCAGACCAAATATGCTCAGTTCTGAAGAACATGAGCAACATTGCAAAGATATACTATCATCTCAACCCCCGCACCATTAAACCTTGCCCATGCAATTTGCCAATCTATAGAGGACACTGCTTTAAAATAAAGGAAAAAAGCAGCTCTAACAGGCACAGCAAGTTAGAACTGAAGTAGCAGAATATTCCATGTCACATCCTTTGTATCTCTATTTGCTCAGATAAAGCAAATGAATTCATCTAGGCTGTACGTGACAGCATATTCCACCCTTCCCCACTCAAACAAGGATTTAAATAGCAATTACTTTGTAACTTAAGAGGAGAGAAAGTTTCCTTAAAAGACCAGATTTTGAAGGGTTTCTCTTTTGTTCTTAACACTGCTGCTTGAAATGTGTGAAAGCTGCTATCCAATTCTTACCATAAGATTTTGCCTGTGATATGCAACATCTCAGTTGTAGTCATTCCTCCTTTATAAGCCAAGAAAAATCTCACATAGCTTTTGATATGTTGGCAGACCAGCTTTTGGGTGCACAGCATTCTATGTACCAGTTTAAGCAAGGCAAACAAAACTACAAAACCATTTCAATATTTTCCCCATAAAAAGAAGGTAAGAACAAACTCACTCAGACAAGAAATCCGCATGATAGTAGTAGTCAGAGAGTTTGTCCAGGAAAGAGCGTGGTTCCAAGATAAATGTAGGCAGTACAACTTTGGACAGGTCCATTCCTGGACGAACTTGTTTCAATAGTGTCCAGATCAGGCTTTTGTTTTCCTCTGATACTACTTCTGTTTGAGAAGCCTCCCCTGCCTAAAAGGAAAAAGTATTCACTCAAAAGCAGAACAGAATTCAAAATATCCTAGGATCCCTTAGGGAAGAGGGAAACCTGCACATATTTTAAAGACCACCTTAGCTTAGGATACATGGGGCCTGACCAGTTACTTCCCTTCCACAGTTTTTTATATGAGCAAGAGAGTTATCCTGAGAAATGCAATTTAAGCCTTAAAAAGAGTCCCTTTCCCTTTCATCATATCCAAACATGAAGTGAAAGACCTCCAGATAAAACTACGGTCAGCTCTTTCCTTTGGCTCCTTTTCCAGGCATCGATTTTTTCCCCCCTTCTGTTCTCTTATATGTGGTTCAGATGGCAGACATGGGCAGCTCTTCGCTATTTTCAATGTTGCCTCTTACTTCAGATCTACACCTCAGCCCTTCAGTGCTCTCTCATTCCTTTCTTATCTTAGGAGACTGCTTCCCTGATGCTGCTACGTGTGCACTTAAAAATGGTCATTCTAGTCCAGTGGTTTTCAACCTTTTTTCATTTGCAGACCCGTAGGCGACTGGTAGGGAGGGCACAGGGGGGCAAGCGCCACCCCTGACAGGGCCGTCCCTGCCAGTGTCTGCTCGCCAGCTCCACCCGCACCAATGACACCAGCAGCGGTGTCTGTGGGTGCTCACCAGCTCCACCTCTGCTGATGACACCGCCTGCAGTGTTGTCTGTGGGCGTCCCCCCAGACTCAGGAGGCACCAGTTTCCCCATGTGCAGACCCCTAAAAACTCTCATACTTTTGATTGATCATAGTCATCTTTCACAGACTCCCCCTTCCCACCCCCGAGAGTTTGTGGACCACCAGTTGAAAACCACTGTTCTAGTCCATGAGAAAGATCTTTAAAAAAAGGAATACAGTAGTGTCAGCGAACAAAAAACTACGTTGTATTTCAAACACAAACTGCAACTAGTTGCAGTTTAACTATCAGCTACTTGAGCAGGTAAAAGCAAAAATATTTTTGAGGCCAAAAATAGGTAACTATTTTTGAGTGATAGATTAACTATTACTACCTGCCACCTTACCTACTCTCTATTGCTGGTTAAAAAAACAAAGGTTTTCCTAGGGGAAGATGCCAGAGTAAGGATTGAAAGATTCCTTTTCAGACAATTTAACGATCAAATACAACTTTTTTTTAAAGTAATAAAATATACAATTTAGTTCCCACACAGAACCAATGGAGAATTACTATGCAAAGTGCTAATGAAAACTGAAGACAAGTCAGCCACTAAGTCCTGCAAATGCTGCGACTCCAGGCGCCTTTGACAGAATGGAAAATAGAACTATATAAAAGGAGAATTAACTCTCATTTAAAAAACAAGTGCTGCTAGCTCTTTTCCTTGGTTTCCAGGCTGCCTCTTCAAACTAACAAACTATATCAACAATACTGAAAGAAATGGTTCAGAATCATATTAGTCACCTTTCCTAAAAGCTCTTGGTCAACCCCATGAATGGTGGACAGTAGGAATCCACCAATGAACAAGCAGTGCATGCCACATGGCAAGGCTGCTTAAAATAAAGGCCAATTCAACACGGTAACTTTGTCCTATTTGATTTGACAAAATGCTGATGTCAATTTTCAATCCAGAAATAAGATAGGCACCACAAAAGATAACATTTTTACCTCTCCAAGTTCTTCATGAACTTGTTCCAAATACGTAGTTTCTTTGAGATCATCAATAGGTTCTGGATCAACATAAGAGTCATCTTGCCGTTCTGATGTGTCACTGTCACTCTCTTCACTTTTCCCCAGCCCATCATTATCAGACTCATCATGATCATGATCATTCTCTTTATCAGATTTGTCAGAGTACAGATCTTGATCCTTAAAATGCTGCCTTTCAATTTCACTGTCATTTAGTCTGAAGTGAAAAAAATGACACAAATAATGTCAAATTTTGCAGATTACCAACTCCAACACTTCCATACCTCCAAACTCAAGACCTGCCATAATGTGGGACATGAGTCATCAATCCTGACCCGAGAGCACTTTGTGACATTTAATATAGGACCTTTACCAACTTGCATTTCTCAGACATGTATTATTTTAGACTTCATTTTAAACTAATAAATTGTTACCAGCCTTAAGAAAGTTTTCCCTTACACAGGTCCTTACTTCACAAGGCCTGCTTTTCTGGTGCTTAAGCATAAGAAAAAGTAAATGGATAAGGATGTTTGACAGTAACCGGGGGGCTGGGTGTTAAAAAGCATGTTGTATGCACACAGGCAAACATGCAAGTAGATATATAGTCCAGTTGGTTAATACAATTGAGAAAACTGAACTTCCTATATCAAAAGGGATAGTACAGCACAACTTAAAACCAAGAGACAGAGCTCAAGGAAATGCCATCTCATTAACATTTCTCCAGCAATGACTGGGTGTTCAGTTGACACTGCTTTCCATTCCCCTTTCCCCCACTGGTTAAAATCTTCCCCCAAAATGTACAGCTAGCCTCACTGTCTATACACTTATGAGTTGCATGTACCTGGTGAAAAAGGAGGGGCCTATTTTGAGACTTTTTGGCAAGTCCTGTTTTTCAATTACTTCTAGCCAACCAGCTTAAACATGAATATTCCTTCAAATTCTGCCTAATTAAAATTCTATAAATAAGCTCTATTTAAAGGAACTATTTTAGTGTTTAATTAAACTGTTCATTGCATCTAAATTATGATCATAATCTGCACCAACTAAACAGCTCACATTAAGCAGCAGCATTAGTGTTTTAGGGATAACCAATTTAATTAATCTCCAACCGGGTTGCATATAGCCATTTTACTGGCTGAAAGGAGTTAGTGTGGAGTGGGAGGACCAGAGGCATTTCAAGAGTCCCTGCCAGTAAGTTGCTTGATCGTCTGTATACAATGGCTCCATGAACTGTGTCAAATACTTGGGTCTAAGGTAACAGACAACCTCAGAGTGCAGGTTTGTTTCAGGCTGAATAGCCAATGGTGCTGTATTTCTCCAAACAGAGGTCTTCCCAGTATACTCTAACTAAAATCAACATCCTATGCTGGGGAGACAAGTAACAAACATGAGAAGAGGGCACCTACTTGGAGTAAAGATCAATCACACCCTGACCCAGGGTGCACAGATGGCGTGGGGAAAGGAAAAGATGGAAAAATCATGGAGGTCGAGATTTCCTGACACACACTTTCTAATGCACCATTTGTAAAGCAGGAAAACCTGAGATGTAGCAAGAAGCTAAGCTCGGTTCCATGTCCTGCTTCCTGTACATACAAGGTATTCCTGATTTTTTAAAGCATGAGGAAGTTCTCAGACAAAAGCCTTCTTAACCCAGATGCAAGCAGTGAACTTAAATGACTTCTAAGTCTGTTTGTAAGAGATGAGGCATATTTTGATCAATTCAAGAGGAAAGCTAATCAAATGGTTTATTGTGGGTGCAATCTGCATCTTTCAAGTAATCAAGAAAAGCTTTTTGGCTACAGTATCTCCAAGCAGAAAATGAAAATTCAAGAAGTAGGGACACAGTACACTTTTGTTTCTGTTGTCCAGTATTAGAGAGTGAAAGTACTAAATAGCCATTCCAAAATGTATTGCTCTTAGTGTATTCTCCCAGAACTAGGGCTCTATGGCTTGTGGAGTTCTTCCAGGCACATGTAACATCAAGGATAACTGAAAACAACTTATATCAGTCAGCTGCATTTCCAGATGTACCAGATGATGACTGAAGTTCCAGAATAAATTATTTAAGAGAAGGTCAATGTCTTCCTCTGTGTTCTTTAAATACATTTGGTCATTCTGAAAAATAAGTGCCCCTATATGAAAATACCACTGATTCACCTTGCTGGGTTAAGATTATATTTCCAAAATGCTCATTATGTGAGCATTAAAATCTGCCTTCCGAATAGAACACATTTTAGAGGGATAGCCAATATTAAGACAGAGCCAAGAGGAGAAGAATTCTTTACTGTTTCTAGCAAGGAAAAGATTGGATGATTAAAGGTGAAATTTTACCTTGCATCACTGAAAAGTTCTATTTAAAAAATGAAGGTATTTGCACCTGGGAAATTGAAATGCAGTTGAAACACCCATCTTAAAAGAGGCTCTTGCCATGGAGGACCATAACTGTCATTAAAGATTAATGAATATGCCTGAGACATAGGAATTTTAAACAGTCTTCCATAGTTTGGTTCTGTCTACATAACATTTAAATTAAGGGCTTGGTTTACTTACGGAAAGTTTTCTGCACTGTGCAAGTTGTTAGCACGCAGCAATCCATAGAAAGATACATGTGTATTTTCTGCTGGAACATTCAAGTCATGTTCTTTACCTTCCCTAATCATCGTACGTTTAAGTAGGCCTGAACATTTTAAAGCCAGTTCCAATGCATCCATCCAACACCTGCCTAAAGACAGAGGCTAATTAATAAATCAAATTCTTTAAATGTTTACATTATCATCAAATCTGATATTGTTCACTTCACAGTTCTTTAGGACACCTGCTCACTTTATCTTTGAAAGACAAACTCTTACAGAAGATGCATGCTTATTTCTTCAGCATCTTTGATGTAAGACCCCTCCTGTGCTAAATTATAAAAATACTTCATGGCCAGCTTTGGTGAGAGAAAGGCTTCTGGGCAGGACTGGCCAGAATGGCATACTAGACAGAATGGCAGATGTCTCTACCTTCATAAAAGGCAACTACCACCTCTTTTCTGGGCCCTTCAACAGTAGGGCTCAGATATATATTCTTGCATCTTTCATCATGTTTTGATAGAAACCATCTTAATATTAAAGTGACCAAACAAACAAACTTCATGTGCAAGACGCAATGATTGTTGGCTACAAACAACACAACAGTAATGATTGGGAAGAGGAAGAAAAACATTAAAAATCTCTACCAATCATTAAGTCTGAACCCTGGGGGCCAAAGCACTAACCTTTTTCACACTGAGCATTGTTATTCATTTACTGAGCTTATGTCCTCCATTGTGCACCCTATTTTGCAGACACTCAAAAGAAGTGTTGAGTCAAATAGATAAGATTTAACATTTCCAAATGAAAAGGAAACATCTGTTCTTTCAATCTGATCCTTCTGAAGGGCATCTTCACCATTTCCCCTAGTATACCAGTTTCCAAGGTTTGTGAGTATTTCGCATTAAAAGGGTAGCACCAAACATTTGAGAGATAAGAAACAGATTTACATCATACAAACTAGGAGGGAACTTCAGGAAAGTCAATCTTCACATCTTCTTGAAGTTTACCAGACTTAAACTGAAAACACTGCTGTGTGTGTATAAGATGTATACAAATTAAATTGGACTGATATGATTAAATTGCTAGAACCATTGCACAAACGTAGCTTTGCAAAGCTACATGGGTCTTGGCATTCATTTTATAACTTTTCAGGGTTTTAGCATTTAAAACATTGACCCAGGGTACAGTGTTCATTTGGTAAGCAGGTTGAACTTAGCCCAAAAAAATGAGTTTCTGATTTATTTTGTCAAAAGCTGCGTTATTAAATAAAAATGTTTTCACTAGAACCACCTAAATATACCGAGTTAATAAAAAGAGCACCTGTAACTGAAGTCTGGAACTGCAAAACATGATGCTGTAATTGCCATTGTAAAAGAAAAATGGAACCATCTGGTTTTACTAAGCAATTGCTTTGAAAGTAAACACAAAACAAAGTTTATTTACCATCAGATTCTGAAGCTGCTCGGATGATCAAGTAACTGCTGGGTAACGGTTGAGTTATTGAGCCAACTGCTTCACCTTTAGGACCCTTGAAACATAAATCAGGTGCAGAATCATTAGACATTAAACTGAATTCAGCTGTTTGATAGTTTAGTGTTGGATGCATTAAACAACAAGCTGACAAAGGCAAGCAGAGGTGGTATCACTCAACAAAAACAAATGAAGATGTGAACCAGTAGATGGGCTGCCCTCTTTCACTCAATTTTTCTTTTGAAGTGTAGTTCCCACCTCAATCTTGTGTTAAAGAGAAAGGTCTTTAGGATTCAAGTTGCTACTTACTCCTTTAGGTTAGGCACTTTAATAGCCTGTGTACGCTCTACTAATGCCATCCACAGCAGAAACACAGTAGCCACAAACTGATAATATTGCTCAGGGGTAGTCATCCTCATCTCTTCTGGGCTAGGGACAGATATTCAAAAAGCCTGAGCCTGAAT